ATCGACACCGTCGAATTGACGTCGATCGATGAATCATTTCTCACTGGGAAGGAGAACAAAAAGTGAGGATGATGTCAATTTGATGTCGTATTGATGAAATTTATGTCAAATTTCCTGACACCACCCTGATTTTTTGTTCTCCTTAGGAGATAGCAGGTTTTCAACACCCAAATTCAATGACAAATCTCTTTCTGCAATAGATATTTATAATGGAATCGACTGACGATGCCTATATTAGTTTAACAGAAACCCCGCTATCGCATATTAGGGGACTTTTCTCTATTCGCGACCGTCGACGTAAATATATCAAAACAATATTAATTATTTCAAAGAATGCAAGCGATGCAGTTAAAACGCGCATATCTACCGAGGGAAGGCGAGCGTAGAAAAAGATCGGATTAACTTAAAAAAAGAATAGAAGAAGCTGTTAGTTTAATCTCTCTGCGTTTTTCCGCGCTACTTTTTGCGCGTAAAACGAGATAGCTATATACTAATAATTATACGTCTCAGAGAAGTCGAACTAAAGATGAAATACCCAAAGCGCGTAATGAAAAAGATTGCAGACAAGGGAAGATCGGAAGATGCACTCTGGACCCGTACGCTAATCTCGGATGTATCATTATTTGGTCTCAGAATAACGTACGTATCGGTGTGGCAGAAGATATCTCTGCATGCTTCACGGGACGTTTCGATATTTTCGGTTATTCCGGTTTTATAAAAGTATCGTGAAGCACGACAGAAGGAATTGGCTCGGATAACAGAGAAAATCCAAAAGGATTTCTCCCCGAGTTCCCGAATTATGAAATTTCTTTTCCGTCCCACTTCCGTTCTAATGGCTCATTCAGACTGGACGCGACGAGCGACGCGCGATTATCCAATGAGCGTACAGGTTTTATGGGGAAGCGTACAGTTTTCCTATAAAGACTGCACGCCCATTGGATATCGCGCGTCGCTCATCGCTTATCGCGTTCAGTCTGAATGAGCCGTAAAGCCCGTATCAGACTACGGATTGGGATTGGGATTAGATTGAAATTTAACCAATCACAGTAAAGTTTACTAATCTCAAGTTCAGTAACTTTTACTCTGATTGGTCAAATTTCAATCTAATCCCAATCCCAATCCGTAGTCTGATACGGGCTTAAGTCGACTTAGTATCACTTGATGACGACCCAAAAAATAGGGTCGAAACGTTGTAGCAAACTAATAAAGTAACCAGCCAGTTGGGTTGACTATAAGTGTCCCGTCTCAATTTTTAATCATTACTGGTGACCATAAGCAAACTCTCCTTTCGTCGATTATAAATAATACTCCCGTGAAATTATTATAGCATTATAATAGCATGATGTAACAAAGAAGAATACAAGAAACGGAAGAGACGGGACAGTGCCGAATCTGTTGCTAATTTATCTCGCTGTCAGAACGTCGCTGCTAGAATAACAAGTTTATTAATCGTAATATGAATTCCTGTATCGTCTCTTCGGCGCGCCGAGACTACTCGCGGCTGTCGCAATCCCGCGCAGCCGTTAAACGGACTCGCGATATGCGCAATTAATTCTCGAGCGTCGCGCGCCCGAGGTCCACGATTCTGCTTATCCCCACGGCGATTCGAATGACCCCGGAGGTGCTTGACGTTTTCGATAAAAAGGAGAAAACCCGGGAGAGAAAGGGAAAAAAAAGAGAGAAACAGGTGCGCGAGGAAAAAGAATGTAGCTCGACGCGTGGCGTTGGCGAGGCGGTTCCGCGAGTCGTCGTCCGCGGTGGGGGACGCGAGGCGGGGAACGCGATCGCGGTGCGAAGAGACGAGATGAGGGAACGCCTGGGGCTCGATCGTGAATCCTTTCCTCTAGCGTGAATTCGCGAAAGGTGAAAAACTTCATTGGCGAACAGTGAAACTCTTCACTTTTCGTAGAACTTGTAGCGTGAACTCGTGAAAAGTGAAAAAGACTCCGCGATCGAGCCTCTGCCCGTTATACACCGAAAGATTGCAGAAACATTGCATACACCTTTGTATGTAAGAAAAAAATTGCAACATTTTTTTCCTATCGCTCTTGGATGTCTGTCATATATTCTCAAACTTTATCTATTAAAATCTGAAGTACCCTACATATTAGACAATTATTATCAAATTTATATAGGAATAGAAATTATTAAATAATTTTATGTTATCTAAACATTGCTATATTGTTATATCATATTCCTGTTGTTTAGAAATCAATGCAAAAATTTATAATCAAGTATACACAGTCCACTTAAAACTTTTTCACATTCTAACGTTCTTGTTACCTAACCTATAACTTATCCGAGTGAATAGATTTTTTGTTAAGCTTCTAAACTCAATTTCAATGACACCATGCCGTTCTTTCACTTAACCCGAATAGCGCGACAGTGTCGGTCCGTACGCAAAGGCCACATAACTTGTATATTACACAAATGTTTTCACGAACTGACAGTTTCTAGGAGCCAAAAGTGCGAAATGTGCAGAATCACTCCAGCATCGGCGGCCCCCGTTCGAAAGTAGCCGCCGCGCCGGAGCGTCGGCCATCTTGCCCAGCGGGGCGACTCCGTGGCCGTCTGACAATCGCGCGCCGCTCGCCCGCAGCCGCGCACGACACACGGCACGGTTCCTGCGCGAGGTGCGGTACCGCGAGGCCGCGGAGCGAGTCGTACGGCGACGCAACAACGCAGTTCCGTCGCAGGTGCGTCACCGTTCGCGGGGACACGCGCCAGCGGAGCATCCCCCTCGTGTCCGCCGCCGGCGCCGCCGAGGGGCCGGACTTTCAGCTCGCCAGTCGCGCGGCGCAACAACGCGCCCGCAGTCCTCGCCGTCCGCGGCCGCGCTCTCGTGCAACCGCTCCGCCGCCGTCGCGCGTGTGCGTGGTGACGTCTAACCTATGACACCGTTGCGAAGGGGGAGAAAGAGGCACGGGGGCTAGACGAGAGAGCTCGGGGGAACCGCGCCGTTTCTCTCTCCCACCCGCTGCGCGCGGAGGGATGCGACCGCGACGACGGCCGACGACCGCGAGTGAGGAAACGCGCGCGCGACGTCGTTGTTCGCGGGGCATCCGCGCGAGTCACGCCGGCGCGAGGAACGCCGTGTCACTCCGATCGCGTGCGTGATCCGATCTATTTACAAAGCCGCGCGCGGACGTCCGCTGCGCGAGGCGAGAGAGAGAGAGAGGACCTCGGAGGGCCGGGCGAGAGGACGACGGTCACGGCGTGTCACGGCTTCCCGGTGGGAGGAGAGATCCGGTGTCCTCGCGGACGCGCCCCGACCGAGCGCGATAACGCCGTCCGTATCGGTGGATCAAAATATTTTTGTAACGCTGCAAGTCTACGAAGGGAGCGCAGGGACCAGCAGCGTGATGTCTCGCGCGGCGACACCGCGTCCGAGGTGCTGACCAGCCGAGCGCGCGCCCGGCTCGTTGCGGCACACGAGCGAGAGCGTGGCTGGACGCTCTCGCAACGTGACAGGAGAGGCTTCGCGCTCCTCGGTGCCATGTGCGGAAGCGATCGGAGTAGCCGCCGAGATTGAAACGTCCGCCCCCCCCCCCTCCCCCGCGCCCTCGCCGCACCGAGTGATGCACCGAGAGTGAGATCTGACCGGCGGGGACCTTGGACGCTGCTCGGAAAATATGGATGACAGAAGGGTGGCGGATTACTTCGTCATCGCCGGGCTGCCGGGCCAGGACGACGAGCCCGGCGAGGACAATGGGAGCAACGACAAGCTGGAGGACTGGTGCCAGGAGGGCACGCATCTCAAGGACATGCACATGCCGCCCCCCATCACGGACCTTGCCGTAATATTCCCCGCGCTGGGCGAGCTCTGCCCGGAGGGGTACACGCTGTTGGAGTGCACCGTGTCCGGCTTCCCGGCGGACCTGAATCACGGCAGCCTGCGAACGAACGAGTGCTACCTGTGCTACAGACGGGGCCGCGACAAGCCGCCCTTGGTTGACATTGGTAAGAGGCAGGGCCGTCGAATATTGCGAAACGACACGCGGAGCGAACCCGCGCCTGTGTAAATGTTGCTTTACTCTTGCAGGTGTGATATACGACGGGAAGGAGCGTATAATGCAGGACGCCGAAATGGTGCTGGAGACCCCCAAGGGCTACGTGGCGAATGTCAACAATTCCACCTCCAAGATTTTTGTAACGTACAGGCGAGCGAGTCGGAAGATGCCCTGCAACTCCCTCGTGGTCACGGACATATGCGTTATCCTGACGAACAAGGGGGAGAGCCCGCCGCACGCTTTCTGCGTCATCAATAAGAATCTGAACAAGGGGATGCTGGGCAGCGACGTGTTTTTGTGCTACAAGAAGTCGATGAACCGCGCCAATTTGGTGTCGTTCAAACCGGCGATACTCTACAAGTATCCCGTGACGGATTACAACAGTTTCGGCTTTCCTAATTCCGTCGCCATGTTTTGCCTGCCGATGGGCGCGACCATAGAATGTTGGCCTAAAGTGGCGTGCAAACCCAAGCCGGTGTTCTCGACGTTTGTCCTGACGGTCGCCGACGCCGCTCAAAAGATATACGGTTCAGCAATAACGTTTTACGAGGAGCTGCATATGGAGCCCGACACATCCAACTGCAAGCACAGCCGGGAGATCATGAACGCGGTCGAGAATAATAAAAACAGTGGTACAGACGCATTTCGCAATCCTAATCCGACGGTCTTGGACTTTTCTGCCGGACCGACTCGCAAATTTCCAGTACGGATATCCTGTTTCGTTACACGGTGTCTTTTCTTTCATTTCAGCAGATAATATGGAGATAACTAAGGATAAGCCGCAAGTGAAAATGAAGCTGTTCAAGAGATCCGGCATACTCAAGAAGCTGAGTATACTGGAGCTGGAAAGGCTGCAGTACACGGATCCCGCGAGCCAGTCGCTGAACATTAGCAAATCCATATGTATACTGTCTCACTGGCCGTTTTTCGACACGTTCGAGAAGTTCTTGGTTTTCCTACACCGCATGGTCAACGACAAGCCGCAGAGTGTCCCGATCGAGAAGTACATCTCGTATTTTTTATACGACATACCCTTCCCGAGCCCGCAGCGCCCGCGAATCTTGGTGCAGCTCAGTAGTCAGGATAGGCTGATCTTGACTCAACCGGAGGATCTCGCGCTGCCTAGATCGGGCGCGAGTTTCAGGCAACTGCTGATAAACTTGGGACCTGACAATTGTTTATTGATACTGTTGTTGATATTGACCGAGCAGAAAATACTGGTTCACTCCTTACGTCCGGACGTGCTGACCTCCGTCAGCGAGGCCATCGCCATGATTCTGTTTCCCTTCAAGTGGCAGTGCCCTTACATACCGTTGTGTCCTTTAGGATTAGCAGAGGTAATATACGCCGAGCTCGCATACCGTTTCCTTTATTCATACGGGCGCAAAAAAGTAGACAGGCATCTACTATTTAAATTACAGGTATTGCACGCGCCGTTGCCATTCCTGATCGGCGTGGATTCAAGGTTCTTTGATTTATACGATCCTCCTTCTGATGTCAACTGCGTAAATTTGGATACGAATAACATTGCGATATGCGACGACAAAAAATATCTGAATGTTAAATTGCTGCCGAAAAAGGCAGCTAGGCAGCTCCGAAATTGGCTGGAGCTACTGTCCTCCAAGATAATTTCGTGGGGAAAGACTAGCTGTTCTCAAAAAGGTATGCTATTCATTTTTTTTACTATCTTTATTGACGTTAATTTATCACTTTCATTAGACAGAGGTGACGAGGACTTTAGCGTGGACAGGGAGTTTCAACAGAAACGCAAGGAGCAAGCGTTAGAGCTTGAAGTACAGGACGCTTTCTTAAGATTCATGGCGACCATTCTCAAAGGGTATCGAAGCTATTTGTTGCCGATTACAAAAGCACCTACCGTAGGGTCGACAGATCCGACAAGCTTATTCAATATCCAAGCGTTTTTGAGAAGTCGCGACAAGGCCCACGCAAAATTCTACACCATGCTCGTGAGAACGCAAATGTTTATCAGGTGAATCATTTTGTCTCATCAATTCTCTGTCGTAATATTATTCATGACATGCAATCTATAATTTTATTCCAACAAAAATGCAAATTCTACAGATTCATAGAAGAGAGAAGTTTCGTGTCCGACATGGACATGGCGGGGCTGGCGTTTTTCGACGAATGCACGGAACGGGTCGAGGAGGAAAATGGTACGAATAAAATTGAGCTACATTTTTCTTATCTGTGTCACATACCGCGTAATGGCTCCTCATCGCTCGTTTAACTTTCAGTGACTCTCTTGGAACTGGATGAATCTCAACATAGTGAGCGTACAGTATTTATACCTCCACCTGAAGCAGGGACAAATCAAACACCAATAATATACAAGTCGTTCAAGTTGAACCCGGATCTAATGAGGCCTCAGAAGAACTTCTGTTTAAAGAATCCATCTCTAAGTGCCTTCGGTATGGTACCTGGGAGTCCTATGGCTCGTAGAACAAAGCATGAAATCAAAGTTGCTCAAAGGATGGCTCGAAAACAGGTGAATAAATGAAAGGGTCCGCCGCGGAAGTGTTCTCGCAAACGAATATACACGCCCGACTTGTATTTATTTTTCAGGCCGCGATGCCCGACAGATGGGGCAGATGCCTACTTGGTACGTGTCACAGTCTTTGGTTTCTGCATTTACCAGCCATGTTGCAGGCCTCCAGCCAGCCAGCTGCAGTTTTGCATCAGGCTTACGAGATATTAGTCAAAATGCAGAAATTACGTCTCGATCCTATGGAAGAGGTGCAGATACTAAGTTCGATACTAAAGAAAAAAAGTAGATCCGTGATTTTTTTTTAACCGAGTTCCCGCTGTTCTTTTTAGGTATGCTACAGAGCTATGATGCAACTTTGCGGAGTGTATGGGCAACCGGTTTTAGCTGTAAAGCTACTGTTCCATATGAAACGCAGTGGTGTTCAACCTAACGCTTTAACGTACGGATTTTACAATAAGGTATTTGTCGATTTTTTTTAAATGAAAAAAAGGTATGCATTTCTAGAGGTTTTAATCATCTCGAGAATTTTGGCTGATCCTCTGTCGTGTTTGCAGGCTGTTCTCGAGGCAACCTGGCCTTCCGATATGACAAACTCAAGCCAGTTGATGTGGAACAAATTACGCAATGTCATCGTCGGTGCAGCTTTATTTAAGAAAGCCGGGAAAAAGAGCGCTAGAAGACGATTGAGCTCGAATGTGGATTTCTTAAGCGCCGATAAGACTGAATGCATGGAACATGCGCTCTCTCGGTCTAGTCTCGACAGCTCCCATTCTCAGGACACTGAAGCTGCACACAGTGATTGTAAGTTGATTGTTTTCTTTTTTTAATGTATGACAACTAGATTGCATCGGTTTTCGAATAACAATATTTCTTTCTCTTTCCGGCAGCCACTAAAGGCAGTTCTGTGTCAGATTTGCCAGGATTCGGGTCATTCGAATTAAAAGCTAAGCTCCTTCGGCAGAATAGTATAGTTAAAGATCAAACAACGTTAAGTATGTTGCAATCGGACGAATTGGAACAACCGCCAAGTAATCCAAGGTATTTTGTTATACATTCACTTGAACGTTAGTGTCGCTCAGGTTTGCCCCATTCGCTGGAATCGCTTGTTTAGACTCTATTGTTTCATTAGTATTATAGTAGCGGATGCAAGCGAGTACTCATTGTGTAGACCATTTTATCAAATCTTACGTAATTAATCTCTTTTCATATTGAATTTTACAGTGCTAATTTGCATGTATAAGCTTATGTAGATGTAATATTTTCCATGTAGGCTAACGCGCAGTGTCGAGTCGCCTTTAAAAAGTCCCATACGCACACCAGTTACGGAAAATGACCCATTGGGTGCTCTCATTAATGACGAAACACCGATTGTGTCGCCTTCCGAGGAAAATGATTCGAATTGCTCAACAAGTACTTTAACTGTTGTAAATAATACGACTGAGGAAAGACCAGGAGGGCCTCTCTTATTCCGAAGGTAACTCTATTCATAGTATTCGCATGAGCGAAACGTTAAATACTTAGGCGAGAATAGAAATGAGATCTAGAAGTAGCGTACCGCAGAATCATTTTCGAAAAAGTTATAGATATAGTTGAAGGGGGCAAAGATTTCCTCAAAATAAAGATGAAGATAGAAAAATTAACGTGTGAAATCACATTTCGCAACCACTTATGGGAGACTGTTACTGGTGATCAAAGTTATTGCGAGTAGTTGTACAGCGAATATATTTCCTTCGAGAGACAAGTTGTATTAAACATGCTTCGTGATTTTCAAAGAATTACATCCCAATCATATATATACGATTTTAAATACGAAAATCACTATAAAATATGTATTTACAGCAACATCCTCCCACGTAGTGCGACGTTTCATCAAGCAGTAGATGAAAGTGGCATGACAGTGGGTGGGCATTTGCAGAGGAGTGAGACGATGCCTCACTCCGTGGCGCAACAAGGGGAACAGGAGAGAGAAAAAGAGAGACTGGAAATAAGCAGTCTTTGGTCTCAGAATAAGGATAGCGTAACGTCCAGCCTCTCTAGCTTAGGATCTAGTCTTAAACTTAGTTTCGGGTAAGACATTTGCGTATGTTTAATAGCGTGCACATTGTCTGCATTCAAATAACACCTCGTGTAATGCATCAGTTTTAATTCCTCCAAAGTGTGACACATTTGCAAGACTCGGTATTTTATGTTTGTGCTTGTATTAGGTGTACAACTTTGCTTCCGCCGTTTTTCGATAGATGACTGCAGCGTTAAGTGCTGGTCGAAATAGGTAGATCAAAAATGTCACACAGTAAGCTTAGACATCTGTCAACATAACGACAGCACCACATTAGTGAATTTGGCATACGGCCTGGCTAATCACAATTTCCGCTCTTATGAAGAAGTGAAAAAATGGATCGATTCGTGGATCGCCTCAAAAGACGCATCGTTTTTTCGAGATGGTATCCGAAAATTGCCAGAAAGATGGGAAAAAAGTAGTGGTTAGCGACGGACAGTACTTTGATTCATAAATATGTAAATACTTTTTAACAATAGAGCCTGAAATTTTGGGGAAAAAACGGCGGAAGCAAAGTTGTACACCTAATAAGAAAAATAATGCAGGAGTATAGTCATTATAAATTGTACGATATCGATGGAAAAGGTAAATTGTATACACATAACAAAGGTGACGAGTGAATTCGTTTGTAATCGCACTGTTAGAGGAATAATACGATTTTGTTCTTGTTCATATTTGCATGCGCATTTATAAGTTGGTTTCTGTTATTTTATCCGTTAAATGTAGACGATACTCCACGGGTGGATTGGCGTTTGCTAAAAATAAGGATTTAATATCATCGAATCAACTTATTGAATCTCTTAGTCTCTCCAGTTATATCAGGTACGTAATATACGTGTTAGTTGCGTAGACGGTCGTTAGCCACGCGCGTTCTGTCTTTGTGTGCTTCTACGTTGTTACAAGATACCAAATGCACATTTTTAACATGTAAAACCTTTCTCTGGCTAACGCCAGATTATATGTTTTTATTCATTCTTTGTTGCATTTTAGCCCGTCGAGTTTAACAGGTAAAAAGTCGAACGAAATCATACTCGGTGGTCTGAATAGCTTGAAGTCCGCTGCGACAACTGTGGTTAAGAAATTTGACGAAATAAAGGAAGCCATCTCAGCGACGAGTACGCCGGTGAAAAATAAGGAACGCGAACAAAAAATAGCTTACGGGATATCGCACGAGTCTCTGGACTCCCTCACTGACGGATCTATACAAGATCGAAACGAGACTAGGGCGTCCGGTAAAGAATATAAACTGACAATAATAACGCGTATCATATGATTACGCTAACAAGCAGCGATATTCATCTGTCTTTTCTTCAATCAGGTGATGGAAATCTAGATTTGTGTTCATTATACGAACTCGCGGAGTGTCTTTATCCAAAGGGCACGAGGGAGTTAGAGGAACGTCTTGCCATTGAGCTTGTGCTTTCCAGTGCTAGTAGATGCCATAACTGCGCCGCCATCCTGTACGACGAGGAGATAATGGCCGGTTGGCAGCCGGAAGACTCCAACTTGAATACAGTCTGTCAATATTGCGACAAAGCTACTGTTCCCCTTCTCACAGCCACGATATTAGATTATAGGTGACTAAGCGACCGTCTCGTAAGCTGTGTCGTCCTTGATACATAAAGAAGATAAAATAATGTGTCTGTTTCACGTAGATGCGAGGCGAGCGAGAAAAATAGCGATCCTTTAATGGGAGCATTGGTAGAATTACTAGATCAGCCGAAAGAATCGTTGGAGCCGATAACCGTACCATATCTAAATCCGTTAGTTCTGAGAAAGGAATTGGAGAGCGTACTGAGTCAAGAGGGGGACGCGTGTCTCACCAAGTACAGGTTTATTCAGGAACATCCGATAGTATACTGGAATCTGATATGGTACTTCGAAAGGATTAATTTGGCGAGTCATCTACCCGACCTCTGGTTGAACAACGATAAGAACTCGGAACTCCAAAGGACCGTAGGCTCGGTGGGTGTAAGAACCACGTGGGACAATGAACGACTGCACATGGAACGTTTGCCTATGTATCTCCAGTGGAAGTCAAATTCCACAGAAGACAGGACGTAAGTTTCAATAGATCGTCCTGTAAATTATCAGTGATACCAGCGCTTAAATTTTAAATTTAAAAACGGGTATTGCGAGGGAAAATTAATGGATTATCCGGTTTGCTAGACGACAATTAAATAACGATCAGATTTATTTTCGAGCAGACAGATATGCGAAACGGTTACAGCTGTTATCTTGTTAACCTTTTGTTTGCTCTAGATTGATGCAGGCAGTGATAACGTATGTCCGTTGCAACGACTTAGCGGAACCTATAATAAGAGTGGCCTTAGAAAGAAGTAAACATCAAACAGGCGTTCATCCGTTTTCTATATATAGGGATATCTTGTTCCTGGCATTTACTGTATTGGGGAGAACGAATATTGACCAAGGTGAGGGCTACACGACCAAAAGATTATACAAACACGTCTAAACAATCCTCAGATATTTATACAAGATTCATTGCTTTCTCAAATGACTGAGCCGATTGTCGAGATATTTATAGAGCTTGATTGTAGCGTCGGTGCGTCCAGTAACTTGATTCTCGTTCTTACAGGCGTCTTCGACCGGGAATACAGTTTATCGCTGGAGAAATTCTCCGAGAACGAGGAGAAGTTACTGCATAAAATTGATGCGCCGCCGACGATGATGTCGGTGTACTGCAGGCATTACTTCAAGCAACTGAACGTGTAAGGACGAGAGCGAGCAGCCGTAATCCCGAGGACGCTTGAAGAAGATTGCTCGAGACACGGAGAAGAGGGTGTGATATTGCACGGACAACACTCGCGGGCGCGAGCATTCTGATTACTTGCGCAATAATTACACTTGCGACGAATACGCACGCGAGGTACGATGTTGAAGCAGGTTTCGTCGCATCTCGAAGCGTGCGATGTCGCGACAGCGGCGACGACGGCTGCTGCTAACATGTCGAATGTTTATTATTATCTAACACGGAGGACTATTAATGTTATCGACGATGAATTACGCTCGAGTCCGATCTAAAGTACCGTTTCTCGAAGCGCGATCGGCGCCGTAGCGCCGACGTGCGAACTAACGTTACCTCATCCTCGTTTCTTCATAAGACTCCGCTTTACTCGCTGACACCCGTGATACTTGTCTTTGCTTGCGCTGAAAACGGATAGTTGGATTCGTGCCCACGGTTCTCGAACCTCGATCACGCACGCACGCGAAAACTGACGGGAGTAGCCATCGGGTCGGCTGTGTCGATATCGTTTTGGCGCTGATCACCGAACTAATTCGTCAGCTCGGGGTTTCTCTCGTTATCACGGAGACAGAAGGCCGTGATACACGAAGACATGAGAAAGTCATTAAATCAGTCTGAGCTATCGATGCTGCCGATCGCGAGATCAGTCAGTGCAATAGAAGTTGAACGATAATATTTTTAACTAATCGTACATCTCTGATCTTCGTTTATAATGTAATTGTTTTTAACCGTTATTGATTCTTTCCTTTGTCTTTTTTTTGTAATCAAGTAATCGGGTCGCGCATGCCTCTGTTTTGTGATTCAGTAACTTGTGCAGCGCATTAGCGGTATCTAAGAGTACAACATTGAAAAGTGTCAAGTACCAAAGAATTTACGGACTGTAAAGCGACTGCAAGTTCAATTCCCTCCAGGTGTGCTGTGACCTTAAATACGTTTCAGTCCTACACGTAATATCCGCGATGTAAAGGAAAACAAAAAGAGGAAAAAAGGGGGCGGTGTTAAACGGAGCAGCGCCTAATACCGACTATTTTTTTTACCGCGAAAAAGAGCAAGAGGAAGAAAGAGAAAGCGCGCGACGTGAAGTGTAGCGTGTGACATGACGAAACGCAGTATTCTTTCCTTGTACTCTTAGATAGAAACGATCGTTCATTGCACGGCAAGACACACAGCGTAAGTATCGTTTCTCTGCGTCCCAGGTGAAAAGTGTTCTTCACAGGGCGTGGCGCGTTGAACTCGACTACTTATCCTCAAACGTAAATGCTTTAGCGTGAGAGTGAATATTTTTATGAATTTTAGACAATTCCAAGCATTTGTAATAGATTAGCGGAGCTTAGTTAGATAAGTCGCTGCTCACGATTTGATTCTATGTCGAAATGGGATGAAGAGAGAGAAAATTATTTGTCGCGGGGGGAGACTCACCGAACGCGACCTTTCGGTGCTGTGCACTTTTCACCCTGGACAAATGTGAATGAACGCACGTTCATTCATTACAATACTATGAATGTAGATTACGAAAATAAAGTCAGTTGAGGTATTTTACAAAAGTTGTTTGTTTTGCTTTCGAGGGGGCTCGTGTCCCGCAAATATCCGCTTTATTAAAAACTAAGGCTAATTTTAATTTCACATTATTTCCGTATATCTCTCGTTGTTACTTTTACGAATTTTCACTTAAAATTTTCACGGAAACGAGTGTTAAAGTAGTATTGTGTAATCCAGTTTTTAGGTCCTATCAATTTTATTTATTTTCAGGGAACTTGCCAGTCCATATAAAAATAATGCAGTGAAATTATCGAGAAGTAAAACTAATTGAAGACGTTTATTTTATTTTCATGTAAAAAAACATAAGATTTCGTAAATTATTTACTTTTGATAATCTCGCTTTAATATTTCACAGTTTGAATTTACAAAAGACTCCCGGAAACGAATAGACGGGAGTATCGAAAGAAAGTTTCAGGTGCGTCACGGAGTCGCTCGTTTAAAAAATCATCAAGAGAATATATTTTGCTAAGAAAGTACTCGGATCCAATTGAAATTTCGCGGCTTCCGGAAGGTTAATTCAGGGACGAACTGAAGTAGGCTGCGAATTTCACGAGCCAGATTCTCGACGCGAATCGTTCGACGGGGGGGGGGAGAACGATATATATTTCTTTACATTGAAATAAAATAAACGTAAAATTACAGTTTACTCAATTAAAATTGGTTCGCGTCATCTTTTGCTCTCGTGTCAACTCGAGGAAAGAAGAGATAGTCATTTCGAAGTGCCATTCGAGTGAATTTAAATTCATAAAAGATTCCCGGTAACGAGCAGGCGGGAGGGACGGGAGTATCGAAAGAATGTGCCAGGTGCGTCACGGAGTCGTTCGTTTCTGGTTTCGCGAGTTCGGCGTTTTGACGCCCGCTCCGGTCGCCGTCGTCTCCCCAAATCGGGCTAAATCCGCCCGCGTTCTCGCCGAGCGGAGCGAGGCGAACGCGCGCCCCGTTTCGTGCCGCGGAGTCCCCGGCCGAGCGCGGCCGAAGGTGAGCGAAGTTTCCCGAACGCCTCTGCCGCGCGCCGCGCGCTCCGTTCCCGCGGCAGACTTCACTCCGGTGCGAGCGTACGAAGGCAGTGGGTACGCGCGGCTCCAGCTCCGCTCCCGGTTCCACGCCGTTTCGTTCCACGCGATTACGCGCGCGCGCGCGTGTGTGCGTGCGCGTCCAGCGGATCTGCCCGGGGGAAGGGAAAGACGGTCGCAGTCGTCGCGCGCGGCAGTGGTGCGTTGCGTGCGGCGGTCGTCGGTCGTCGCCGAGCCGGTGAGACGAAACGGAGCGGCAATCGCGTGCGGCATGTTCGCCAGGCGTTGAACCGCGCGGCGCGACACACACGCTCTCTTTCTCTCCGTCGCGTACGCGAGGAACGGCCGTACGCGCGATCGGGTGACGGCCGCTCGGTGTGTGCGCGAGTGCGTGCGTGCGTGCGTGCGTATGCGCGCGCGAAACCGGACCTCGCCGACACCGATTTCCCTGGTTCCCTCCTGCCGCCGCTGTTGACATCCGCCGTCCGGCGAACGAGAGGATAAAGAGGTGGAACGAGGAAGAGAGAAAGAAACATGTACTCCGACGGCCACGAGGTGGACGGCAGCTGGGTGCTGCGCGTCTTCGTGACGGATCTGCAGGTCGAGAGGAGCCTACGCGTCAAGGGCGAGCTGCACATCGGCGGTGTCATGCTGCGCCTCGTGGAGGATCTCGGTAAGTCCCTCTTATTACACGTAACGTACACACGCGCGCGGCCGCGCGCGCGCGCGCGCGCCTCTCTTTCGCTCTTTCCCCGTCGGTCTCTTCGTCCCTCTTTTTTCTCCTTCCCCACTCGTTCGTCGCTCTATCGCCTCCCGACTTCCTCTCCCGACGTCAAACGTGGCCGCTCGACCTCCGGGTCTTTTCTCGCGTTCGCATTGGACGTACGTCTCGACGTGCGCGACAGGTGGAATTCGAACGGGTCGGGTAGGCGCGAGGCGACGACTCCGATTTTGAAGTTACCGGCAAAATGGCGCGCCTGCACCGCGCCGCGCTCGTTGCTGCTCCCGTGAAGCCCCCGGTATCGGATCGCGGATTGAGATTGCGATTAGATTGAAATTTCACCAATCGGAGTAAAGTTTGCCGATCTCAAGCCTGGCGACTTTCACTCCAATTGGTCAAGTTTCAATCTAATCTCTGTTTTAATGATCCGATACGCTCACGCTCGCTTTGTTGTCTTCTGGTTAATTGTTAACCAGAGGTTAGTCGGTTCTCTGTCTCTTCTTAGATAATATAGAAAAAGATGGAGTCGACTAACTTCTGATTACCGGTTAATCAGAAAATGAAAAACCGGGCCGTAAGCGGCGCGAGCGGACTCCGATAATTCCGCGGGCCGAGAACGTCCGCTGCGAGAGAGGCCGAGAGAGTAATCTATCGGAAAAACAGAAAACATTCACGCGTCTAGGTGATATCTCACCCGTGGAGGAGAAGAGATAAAATGTGCCGAGCGATCGCGAAGTCAGTTGAGATAGGCTCCTAATATGAGACAGCAGAGCACCGAATGTACAATATTTAGAATGATTTATATTTTTTGTGAACATGCGGCCTAATGCGGGTCAACAAGGCAAGATGTAGGTAGCCCGACTTGTAGATCTTCAAAGCTTTCAGAAAAATCGTGAATCGGCGCGTAGTACAAATGTGGAAAGAAACGGTATAAAGATTCACGATTTTTCTGAAAGATTTGAAGATGTTCACATATATTGTTTAGTTTCGAGGGTCCTACTTGAAAGTTTATTATGATTTATATTTTATATGAAATTTTTATGAAGAAGTAAATGCATAGAAATATATTTGCACGAGACAGGGGATTCGTTTTAACATTCAATTATTAATTCCTTCTTTAAAACGAAGGGCAATTGATCGATAAGGAGAGAGAGAGACCTTTGTTTTTCGCGGTTCTCCGCAAAAATAATCGTTAACTAAAAACTCTCGGCTCTAATGACTTTGACCATCGATTGATGATTTTTCTGGTAAACCGGTTAATTTTACGAGGCTGAAAACATCGATCGCCCTTGCATCGGCATGGCATGGGTAATTAGTCAAGCCGATGCAGGACAGTTTTATCCTCGTCGAATTAGCCAATTTCGATCGATTGAACGAGCCGGTTCCCATATCCACACCCGTATACTGGGTGGTCCGTTATTGCTGGTACACGGAGGGAATTTTCTTTTAAAATTTACCCCGAAAAGCATGTAACCGCGGGACAACGTGGCGTTCTGAACAACTTTATAAGAGTTTTTTGAAATTTTACCATACATTTTACTAGTCAAAATGTATACTAACTATAATTATCAGTAAAATGTAAATGGCAAAATTTCAAAAAACTCATAAAATTCCGCGTCTTCAAAATGCCGTGTTGTCCCACGATTGTATGACTTTCAGGATAAATTTTAAGAGAAAATTCTCACCGTGTGCAGACGGAAGAGCCAGTGGGAAAGATGAATTTAAGATTTTCTCATACAAGGCGCGCATGTAAATACGTTCCTGTATATCTCTGCACGTTAAAAAAATCAATATTTGATGAAAAATTTACAAAGATATTGAAAAAGATATTAAAAAAATATTTTATCAAATTTTGATAAAAAATTTTTTAAGTATACCAGTGTCTTTTCCTGATTACGCGGTCATTTATAGTAGATCATTTTGTACGCGCAAACTTGGGAAATAAATCCAAAGAGGACGGAAAAGAGAGGGGAAGAGACAGACGCGATTTCTTCGTCGAGCCTGCTCCTCCCTTCTGCGGGAGTCCGTTCGCTCCCGCGAGATAAATTTTCACGCGGCATTAAGAACGCGGCGGAATACAAAATTGCCGAACAAACGTAGAACGGGGAAACGCTTCCGGTGAGAGAAGAATTTCAGCGCGCCGTTTACCTGACGGCCGCGCGATAAGGAATAACTCGTCGTATCTCGAGTACGATGACGCCCACCCCTCTCTCCGGATGAGATAACGATAATCCTACGCGAGTGCCGATATTATCGTTTTCGTTCGCCGAGTAAAAAGTATCTCGGCGAGTTCGATCGATCCGTCGAAAAGCGATGACACCGAATCAATTCGGAGCTTGTTCGGGCGATTCGAAATGGATCGTCGAGGAGGAAACCGCTGAGGGCATTGTGGTGTACAGATTTGCGGCATTACTGGGCATTACTGGGCATTATTTTGGGCATTATTTTGGGCATTAGGCCTTGCTGGGGCATTATAACTATAAAATAAGATAAAATAAGATAATAAGATAAAGTAACGCCCACTGGGCATTTTTTGGGCATTAGTTTGGGCATTAGTTTGGGCGCTAGGCCTTGCTGGGACATTATAAAGATAAAATAAGATAATGAGATAAAGTAAAGCCCACTGAGCATTGGTGAGCATTGGCGTACGAGATTTTGGCCAGCGGCTTCCCCCTCGTGGATCGCAGGTACATTCTCTAAAAGTTAATCCGGTGGATTATCGCTGAACGCAGTGAATATTCGCCGATTCACAGTTATAAGTATGAATAATTCAGTGCTACACTTACAACTGTTTTCAGTGATAATCCACTGATTGACTTTAGGCAGTAGGAAAGTGATTTTTCAAGCGCTCTCCAATCTTCATTCAGGCAAGACAATTGTCTCGTTCGAGCGGAGAGGATTATTACTCCATATCCTTACCCGGCTCGAATAAAATATTTATCCCAGTAACGCCCAGCTCTTCTCCTCACGTGATGCGAAGATCGCCATGACTCATGAATACGTTATGACGTGAAATAACGAGTGCGAGTGCATTATTCAATCGCGTTTCCACGAAACCGCCGCAAGGGGTGAAAACGTTTTCAACGAGAGCGTCGTAGAAAACGATCTACAAGAAATTGGATTTGCTACTCGCGATCGATTAACTTTCCGCAACGCCCTCGTTGAATAATACATTTTTGATATTCGATGATTAACTTCGTTTAATTAGTCAGATCTGGTTCCAAGCAAGATCGACCGACTTCGTTTGGTTTGCAATAACGGTATCGTTATTCAAGCTTGGTAACTACTCGGGTTTGAGAATATCGGGGGGGAAAATGATCGATCCTTAAGGGAAGAGGACATCGTGCGTCGGATACGTGCGCGGGGCCAGGTAGAAAAATCCAGCAGCCACATCTTTTGTTGACTGGTCCTCTTACCTTTTTTTTTGCCCCGCCACGCCGGATCCAACAGGTTAGCGCGGCCGTGCAGGTTCTCGCCGCATCCCGCCGCATCTCGCCGCATCTCGCCGCTCGACGATTTCGAACCGGACCGACGCGTATTACCGGCCTACGTGTGGCTGAGCCTTATGTAAATACACCGGGTGTCCCGGACGTAGCTACGAGCCGACGTGTCGCGGTGGTTCACGCGCACTCGAGCGGTTTTCGAGTCGAGTGCGCCGGGGCATTGTTAAAGAAGACCCGGAATTCCGAGGGTGCGCCGGAGATGCTGAGGGAATTCGGTAGAAAGGGGAGAAACGCGCCTAATCGACACAGGACGAAGGATCAACTTCTAAACATGTTTTTGAATACGATTATTTTTATCTAACTCCATCTAAGCTGACATGATCAGAGACAACACGGCTGTTGTATGCGATGAATATGTTAGTCAGTTGACAGAACTGTAAGCACGTATGCATAGTTGAACGAAGCGCCCATCCATAAGCATTACGAAACTGCGTGGTCAGGGAAAGAGCAATGGAGACTCCGAGTTTACCGGTCCAATCACTTTCGCTTGATGATAACTTATGCTTCTTTCAATTTACGATGGAGGCCACTTTTGCTCCAACTTCCAACAGTTTGCTACATTTTCTCACTGGACATTACGATGAATTATATTCGGGAATACTGTCTGTTATAACCAAATGTGTGTACTTTTGAATACGAGAAATCGTTTATGTCTAACACCGTCTACTCTCTAAGAGTCAACCAGTGTATTACAGAGATACATACGTGTGTAAATATATACAGGCTGAGGCCGTAACTTTGTCCACCTCGAATATCTCCGCTATTTTTAGAGAACGTGAAAAAAATTATAATTACGAAAGTTGTACTATATCAAGGGAGCCATAACATGTTGGTAATATTTTTTTTCAAAAAGTGGAGGCGCTTCGGAGATTTCAAGATCACCTCTATTTTTTTTAATAGCATACTATACTTATTTAATCATTATGGCAATAGCGTATGTTGAGACGATTTCAACGACCTATAATAAAAAGTCATTCGGTTATTGTAACAAAGGATACATGGGTTCTCTCTCTCTTTCTCTCTCTCTCATTCGTTCTAGATTTTCCTTTCGTAAATCTAGTTTATCGTCGATTCAGTTAAATTTACATTACTTATAGTTCTGTCAGCTAAACATATTCGTCACATTCCACAGTCGTGTTGTCGCTGATTGTCAGCTTTAACACTCTAGATGGAGTTAGACAAAAATAATTTAAAAACATGGACAATTTCTTATAATTAACGGAAACAGAAATAAATACGTTTCGTGATACCGAAGTATTATATTAAGTCGTTGTAGCTCAAGTGGCATGTCAATGCAATTGCTCGTATCTTTCTTTTCTTCACCTATTTTCAATTTGCTCGCAAAACCCTTGCTTGCTCGAGCTCCATCACACGATTATTCCGGCGCATATTGCCTCTCCATTTGATTAAAAGGAGAGATTGCTCGCGGAAGGTTCAGTCATGCAGTCA